AATTCCCTTGAGATTCCTATATAAATACGATCCGAAGATTTAAATCATAAAAATAAAAAAATGTCTACCATCAGTCAAACATCAAAACAATAATATTTTTAAATTTAAAGAATAAAAAAAAACAAAACCTTAAATAGAACAACACTTGACCGAACCTTAAAATACGTTAAATCAATAATACTTTAAATATACTTCCACCATGAGAATGACATCAAAGCTCTTGGATTTATATTTATTTGCTTGAATGATGAAGACAAATACAAAGATAATTTTAAATGACATAAATTATCATTGTGAAAAGACAAGATGAAAGACTTGTTTGTAAATAATTTGCATATTTCCATCTTTACTACACAAAAGTTGAATTTTATGTTTAATAAAGAATAAGACTTTGGACACTATGTGTATGATTTTATTTGACAATATATAAAAATATTGATTATAACACATTGCTAAAATTATGAGAGAAAATTGAATACTTATATGTTTCTAAGTCAGACAATAATAGAAAATTTTTTAAGTTAAAAATATTGGTATTCTTTTTCGAAATTATGGTATCACTATTGTTACTCTTTATAGATTCTTGCAATGTATTATTTTTGCTGTATACTTTTGTATTTTTGGTTGTAGGATTGTTCTCCATCAATAATGAATACTGTACATTCTCAAAAATGTAAATTCTAAAAAAAATCATCCTAGATTGAATTAAGCTTGAATGTTTTTTAGATTTTTAAAAGTTTTGAAAATATATATTAAAAATATAAGAGATACATTTTATATAAAGGAGTTTCTTATTTTATTTTATTCATGCACTTTATATCTATAGCAAAATATGATAAAATATTAAATATTTATAATATCTTAATTTTGATTTCCTAAATTTAAATAATAACTAAATATACTTTTATTTTAAAATAAGATTTTTGTCAAAATTAATTTAAATAAAAAATATTAAATAAATATAATCAACACATATAATTATAAAAAGTATAAAATACACGCATTATTGATTATATAATATATCAACGTGATAACACATATTCTTTCTTGTGCATACAGATTAGGGTTTAGGAACTTGACTTATGGTTCATTCCATGAATGGAACTTATGAGAAACATACAAACCAAAGGAAAAAGCGAAAATAGCAGCTGTAACAACTCCCTTGTTTCTCATCAGAACCTCCACTGCAGATCTTGATATGTGTTTTTGCCCCCTCTTCCTTGTTATGTTCTGAGAATCATCTATGTTATGTCTTCTTTCTTCATTCTCGCCGTCCTCGTGGTGTGGAGTGTCATATCTGTGAGCAACATAATCGTCGTTAACAGCATCGTGTTCCTCAGTTTCAGTTTCTTCAGCCCTTTCAAAATGGGCATTTGAAGCTTTCTCAATGCCACTTTCTCTGTGCTCTTGTGAAGCTCGCTTGGGAACGTTCACGTAAAGGATTTCACTATCAAAGTTTCCAGATATGTTCTCCAACTCTCCATCTGCTGGCGCTGCAAATTTCAGCTCAAAGTGAACACGTTTCTCTTCATTTGTATACCTTTCGCCTTTCACAATTATGTGGCCACCGGAGCTATCAACTTGAAGACTCACCTCCTCCTTCTTGAAGTCTGAAATAACATCGAAAATACAACAGTTATTATTTTAACAAACACCCCATTATTCTTAAGGGTTTTTATTTCTCCGGTGATTATTTTTTTCTATATAATAGACTTTAAGTTAACACAATTTTATAAAACTGAGTTTAACAAGTTTGTAAAATTAAGATCGGTACACATTTAATAAATAATATAAATTTTTTATACTATATTAAAATGTGAGTCGTATGATGCTCGCTCACTTTTTTTATAATTGACCTTTCGTTTAACGTTTACAAAGAAAAGTTGAAAAAAAATTTCAATCCAAAGGAATGTTGCCACAGTCAACCACTCGGTCAACATTTCCATAGTTGATCGATTAGTAATTATAGGTTAAGACCAACACCGAATAACGTTAAAAAGACTAAAAAAAAGTATGAAAAAGAATAATTCTTAACTCCAGATCCGAAATAAAATGTAAATTCAAACATACAAAATCACTTTATATACAAGGTTTAGATTTACACCTATTTAAATATTTTAAATTAATTTTTTTAGTCTATATGAAAATTTGTATAATATATAAAAAAATATGTTAATTTGGTTGGTAAGTGTATGTATCTAATTAGAAAATAGAGGCAATATAAAATGATTGAGTTGTTTAAATACCGGGAAGATCTACGAGAAGAAAATGGCCTGAATGATCTTCTGTCCATCCTGAATTAGGTACGATTTCTTCAACCTCTGGTGCTTGTGATGATGAATTTGTTCCAACCCGTCTTGAGCTTCTACTTGTCTCAGTGGCCATTGAGAATGAGTTTAAATCTTCAAATTCCAATGATGTTTGTGTCTCAAAGATGTGACAGCGATTTTGTTGGAAAGCCAGAGGAAAGTAAATGTTCTTATACGATTATTAGCAATTCCCTGATATTACGAAATAGGATGGCTGGCTTGCATGCTTCAACATTCTTATTCCATGCTTCTGCCGCAAAACATTGTAATGTAACCTAAGTAGGTATTCTCACTATGCAAAAGCAATACCTTGCTTCGTTTATTATAACTCATAATATTTAATGTTCAATCCAATTTTACATTTCCAATAAACCTCTTTTTTAAGAATATAAGGTAAGTTACAAGTTTTAAGTTGAATACAAATAAGATAAACAATATATATAAGAAGATTCACAAAATTATTGTCGTAAAATCTTAAATGGAAAGTAATATCTTACTTTTTATATGGATTTGTTCATTTTAATGTTGAATTATTCTGATCTTTTATATAAACTTATTCCTAACCTGGTGAATCTCTCCTATGTCTCTCATAATAAAAATACCTACATTAAAAATATACAAGTTAAGACATTATTTATACTGCATATTTAAATTCTTTGTATTTGTATTTTAAGTTTATATATATATATATATATATATATATATATATATATATATATATATAAAAATAGGTGATAAAATGAAATATAAGAAATGTTGGTAATGATAAAACAAATAGTATGTCCTACAGTATAATTTATTATTTCTTAAAATTGCTTTTGAATGACAAAATATAAAATTACCTTCTTCTCCTCTCGTTCTTATAATGTAAACGATGATCAATACTATTAATGTTTAAAAAGCGACAAAAACACAAGAATTGTACAATTTTTCACATAAATTACCGAAATAGATAACTTTTTAAAAAATTATAAAAGTAGAGCAACTTAACACGACTTCATTTTACAAAAAAGTCAACTAATTTGACATATTTTTTGATTCACTAAAATGAAGTTGTACTTGCATGGTACTACGTCAATGAAAAACATCATTGTAATTTTTGAAAAAATTATATATTGTAATATAAACTGAAATCTTATAAGAGTGACACGACTAATGTTGTATAATATTATAATATACATTGAAGTTATGTACATATATTACATGTTGAAGTTATGTACGTATCTTACATGTTTATTTTAATTCTCCTTTATTATTTTTATATAAATAAAGGTGTATAAAATATAAAATCTAATCTAGATTAAAAGGAGGTAAAATATGGGAATTAAACTTGATCATATATTGAGAGAAGCGACAACATGCACGTAAAATAACGCAATTAGAAAATTAAAAAAAAATCACATGAAATTATTAAATATTTTAAATATAAATTTTTGATAAATCTTTTTTTAGTATAAAAATACATCATAAAATTATATAGAATTTTATGACAAGTATGCGTATGTTAATTAAATTTATAAAAATATAGAAAAAAGAGGTGAGAAAAATACTAAAAGAAATAAAAAGGTGATTATTTTTGTGAAAATATTTGTGAGTCTAATCATAGCTCATATTGCCTATATATATTGTTAATCCTTCTTCTCTTTTCCACTTAAAATTAGCATTTTTCCTTTTTTCCTTGTCTTTTTTCACTTGACGATATTCTCTTTTCTGTGTTAATGGTAGTTTGGAGGCAATGAATATCGTAGATGGAGATGGACGATGATAATTTGAGAATTAGAAAGTGATGATAGTTTATTTTTTTCACATTATGCTTTCTTTTTGCCACTGATGGTTACAGATAGCGACAAACAGGACTTGAGATAAGTTATATAAAGAGAAAAACAAGAATTTGGATAAAATCGTAAATATTTATCACATTGTATAAAAATAAAGTTTGAAAAAATATATTTTTTAATAAATGAATTGAAGAAATTATAACGGAAGATATGAATACATCTTCTAAGGACAATAGGGGAAGCAGATATTATATGGAAGAAAAATGATTTTTTAACATAAATTTTTTAGATTTATTTGAGATTATTCTTTTTTATTTTTTACTCTTTTTTTTTAAATAGTATAAAAAAATTTATATTTTTATGATTATTTTATCTTTGTAGTGTGAGTAATATTATTCTATATGGAAAAGTAGTCATCTGATTGTTCAAACACATGTTACTATTGAAATAAAGCATTTAAAAATAATAAATTCTAAAACATTTAATAGAAATGCAAATTTTTCTCCAGCAGACATAATAGTTATTAGCTTGATTACTTCAATGATTTTTTAACATAATTTAATTACTAATGTATCATCTATTTTTATTTTAAAAGATCAAGGGTAACAATCTTTATCATTTAATGGAAAAATGATATTTTATGACATTATAACCTAGTTTTTGTAAATAAGTTATAATATAAAATATGATGGTAAATTTATAAATAATTTTAAGACATATTATAAAATAGTTTTGTATATCAATTATAATATAAAATATAATAATAAACTTGTAAATGAATTCAAAATTTATTATTATTATTACGTGGAGATCCGTTACAATTTTCTTGATGTATTATAACAGTTTTAAAAATCAGTTATAATATCTATTCCTCTCTAATTTTTCACATTTCTATTTCTAATTTCATTTCACTTTCGGCGTTTCACCTCCATCTCTTCCGCTCTTGGCATTTCATACTCCGAGAACACTCCTCGGCGCCTGTGCTTTTCTCGGCTCCGAGAACACTCTTCCCACAGCGGCGCGACTGTGGTTGTGGTTTAGGCTACAGAGAGAAGGAGAGCTAGGTTAGGGGAAGGCGAAGGCCAAAAAACTGAAAGCACTGTTTCTACGGTTTGAATTAGTAGTTATAGAACCTTCAGAGACTGCTGTTTCCGCTGCCTCTTCGTCGAAATGTCCGAAGTCTGAGCAAGTAGCTTTTATGATTCATATTTCGAAATCTCCGAAATTTCTTCTACTATTTGTTTTTTCCTAATTTGTTATGTTTTTCTTGTATTAATTTCACTAATTTCTCCTAGATTGGTGGGGAAATTAGCAGCGTTAGCATGAGAGAGGAGGAGGAGAGAGCCTTTAATGCCGAATCGGAGAATTTTGAAGGTAGGCTAAGAAGTTGTTAGAATTATGAGATTTGATCATTTGCTTTCACTCCTTGTTCTTGGATCTTTGTCTCGACATGTTATCCCAATCCTTCTCTGTAACACTTTTCCCCCTCTTTATCCTGTTAATTTAGTTTTCTGTCTACTATGTATTTACACTTTACTTTCAAGACTAATATATACATGAAAACTTCCTTTTTCCTAACCTAGACCTGTATATAGTAGAAATTAAAGTTTAGCTAATGGGTGCGCATTGATCAAACCATGGACATAGACAAGTAATGTTTTGCTTCAAATGTTACAGGGAAACTAGAAGAAAGATAACATCTTCTTTTAGGCATGTAAGTTTCTTTGTTTGCTGTTGATGTTGAAAACACTGTTGCATCACCATCAACATTATCGACAGGTTCTTCTTCTTTAGGAATGAGGTTGAAATATTGATAGAAAAAGTGGAGGAGAATGACAGGTTCTTCTTCTTTAGCAGAAGGACAGGAACATGTGTCTTTAGCAGTGGCAGTGGACGGGGTTGGTAAATCGTAAACTTAGCTCTCCATCAAGGAACAAATGAATAAATGAAGACTAGTTCGTTTAATTTAGAACCTGTTTTTCATGTTTACTGTGCATCTGTGTAATACTGTGAAAATTTGAAGATATTGGGGTAGATATTAGTGTGGGAACAGTGCATGTTTGGATTATTATGGTTTTAGATCTCACACTGTGTTTGTGCATCTTTTTCTGGCATGAAAAATAGTGTTGAATCTCAAATGCTTGTTGTCTGCAAATAGATTGAAAAACAAGAAATGCACACATGTTTGAACATTTGGATCAATAGCATTGTCTCCAGAAAACACATGGCATTGTCTCCAAAAAATCGCAGAGAAAAAGAAAAATCTTGTGACTAGTTCTAACTTAGTTCAATTTTCTTGCTTGTTAGCTAAGTTCCTACATGATTCTAAATGTAAATGAGTGTTTAACTAAGAGTAAAACCAAATGTAGGTTTAATTAAATTTTAAATCTATAGCAGTTTGAATATTTTCAATCAAATTTTTATTAATTTCATGTTTTGACTCAGATTCTACATTTTCTAATGGTAATAATTACTATTTCTGTTCTATCGCTTCTGCTGATAACCTGCACTGTTTACATTGTTGCTGATATCTGCATCATGATAAGTTGTTACTGTCATCTGTGTGTCTATGGCTCCATGCCTAGGAGAGCTACTGCTCTTGTTCTCACCATATAAATTAAAGTTCTACTTGAATTATGGGTACAACCACCATATCTACTAAATTGGAACATCATCATTTATAGCATAGTATAATATATTATATGATGCTACAAAACAGCATTTTAATGTAACCTTTTCACATGATTCATAGTACTGGATTCTTTTGGAAGTGATGCCTGTTTTAGTTTCTTGTTTTTATGTTAATGGAGTTGATAATTTGGTGTCCTATTAGTTGTGTATGTTTATACGTCTTGCTATATTGTTTTTCTTGTGTGCTAAAGCAGGAAAACTTTCAACTTTTCTTTTTAATCCATCCAGAGAGGTTTGTCATCACCAGGAAGCGTATGTGAGAAGAGCTGTTCTTTTTGCTGCCTCATGTGTATTGGTTTCCCTTCACCCTACTTCCATTTCATCTGCCTTGCTCGATGGAAATGTTGAAATTTCTATTGGTCTTGAATAGATTCGCACATGGGCCCTTATTTAGCTGAGTTAGACACAGATAAAGAATGCTATACGGTAAGCAAAAGAAAATTTGAAGGTTCCGAGAGGTTTAAATTCGTTCTGCCAGTTTTCACAAGCTTTTAAGTTATATCTGCATGTACTTTGGTCATATGAAAAGGTTTAGATTTTTCTACATTGGTCTACTGTTATTTTATGGTGCTAAGGTTACATATTGGTCTCATTCTCGACTTCTATTGATATTTATTTTAATTGTTCATGACAATATATTTGCTTTTAAAGTATTAACTGATAAGCATCGTCAAGAGTTCTATCGCTAACCCAAGTAGCTTGTTATCCTAGGAATTTTTAGTCAGTCTTTTTTTGTTCTGCTGTAGAGCTTTGCAAAGCCCCTTATCCTCTTCTGTGTTTTGGTTTAACTTCTGTTATTTTCTTGTTCCCAATAATTTTTTTTATTTAACTATAAATGGTTATGCCATGTTTAAGGATTTTGTTGTTGTTTAGATGACTATGACATGTCTACAACTACATCTCCAAACTTCCCGAGCTTTGCAGTCAACAAGAAGTTCACTCAAGGTAGGCCCTGCACTTACATCTGGCACATCCAATGTTACCATTAAAATTCCCTACAATTCCCAACTTAAATTGGGATTAGAGATGCTTTCGGCTATTGTGAGTGGCTTCTAGCCCAACATATAAATTGTAAGTCATGCTATTTTTGCCACTCCTTATTTTTTTTAACATTTTTTTCCATTCCTCGTTTTCCCTTAGGATTTGTATATTTTAGGATTCTATATTGGTACAACACTAAAGTTTATATTCTGATTCAAAAACACTTAGAAGTTTAAAACTTATTTATTCTTACTCCTTTCTTATTAATTTTGAGGTTCTCGTCTCTTTCCACCAATTTTAGGTACTTAATATAATTACTCAATTATAAAAAGTTCAATTTTACTTAACTAACCGTTTTGGTTTTTGGTACTTATTAAGAATCTTTCTTATTTTACAAGGAATGATGAGTTAACTTCTGTTAATAATTTCAACCATACTTATTGCTATATTATTAATATTATTTTAACTCTATTATTTTATTTGTAGTTTTAATGATATATCTTCCATGGAAGCTGGAGATATTGAAGACCTTAGAAGGAACTGAACTTCTTTTATTTTAGGTGTTAGTAGAAATTTGGTTACAATTCAATAGTATATGTACATTAATGTAATATTTGGATTTAATATATAGTTTCATGTATAAATGATGTATTAAATATTATTAGACTATTTAATGTTTGAAATGAATTCTATTTTGTTAGTTTCATTAAATTTGTTTATTTGAAGCTATATTGATTATAAATTGATTGGATGAGATGATAATACAATAATATTATTATAATTTCCTTGATGTCAAATGTAATAATCAAATTTTTTTTAAAGAAAAATATATATTATGACATTATAATGTAAAAACAAATCTACTTTATAATATGTTGAAGCTATTAATAATATATTATTTTTGTACGTTATAAAATGTCTAGTAAATTCTTGGTTTAATATCTCTTTTGGTCCCTCGAAAGGGGCAAATGTTCAATTGGGTCCTACCTTTTTTTAGAAGTTTAATGTGGTCCCAAATTTTGTAAAAAGTGTGCAATCAAGTCCTTTTTGGAAACAGCGTTGATTTTTTAACGGAGCAGCTGACAGGGTGGACTGAAGTTAGCTACGTGGCTGTGTGAGGGTAATACGTGGCTGTGTGAGGGTGATACGTGGCTGTGAGAGGGTAATATTACTGAGGTTAAGAAATTAGGGTTTGAGTTAGAGAGAAATTGGTGTTTGAGATACGAATGACTTCTTCTGAAGGGTGTTCGTCGTGTTCGAAAAGTACCGCGAGGCCAGCCCTCTACCTGCAGAAAACCAGAACCAAAAACCAAAACCAAAACCCAGAGATCCAGCGGCCAACCTCGGCGAAGTTTCGTTGATCTCCGCAAACCTGTCGCTCGAGACCCACCGCGCGAACCACCATCGAAACCCCAAGGGTCGCGCCTCTGCCGCTGTGTCGCTCACAAGCTCCGCCGCCGCAGACCACCCCAAAGCTGTCGCAAGTTGTCCCAACGTGAGAGAAAGGAAGCTGCCATATGGTTGCAGAGCAGCGCCGAAGGAGAAGAGAAGGGAAAACTATATCTTTCCCTCACATGAGCGTGACGAAGCAGACATAAGAAGAAGATGGTAGAAAGAAATTGGGATTTCCAATTTAGGGTTCATAATCCTTTCAGATTGGGAGTTTTCCCTCTTAATTCTAATTTTAATTAGGTTCCTAATTTTCAAATTTAGGATTTTTCGAATTAGGAAAACCACGTATTACCCTCACACAGCCACGTAGC